ATCTTGCTCGTGTGAAAAAGGTGAACGAAGTGCCGATGTCGACCGCCGCAACCACTCAACTCGGATGTTTAGGTCTGGAGAGGATCCGACCTCTCCTCTGACACGCGTTGTATGATCATAAGAGGCAGAATCCTGAACCCCGAGGCAGTCAGAGAGAAAACCTCCTGGGCTCTAAGCCTCAAACAGTGCTGAGTGAGATGGACGACCTAAAGGACTCTCCGGAAATGTCAGCCTCCCAGCTGTCTCCTGGCTCCGGAGAAGACAGTCAGGGAGCGAGAGTCGCGTCGGATTCGAGCGACGTGTACCTCGACCAAGCGCGCACCTTGAAGGTCCTGAGAGATTTTGAGGCTCTCCTCAGGCAAAAGACACGATCGAAGGCGGGACGGAAACGCAAATCCGACGAACCCGTAACCAGACAGGCTGCGATCGCTCGCTTGAGTCGCAGCAAGAAGAAGAGGTACGAGGATGAGCTCGAGGCGGGCGTCGAGGAGCTCCACGGCAGATGTGAGGAGCTCATGGCGGAGCTCAAGGAAGTCCAAATGACTAGGGAACAGCTCGAGAAGGAGCTAGAGGCGATCTGGAGCGATCCCTGAGGAGGAGAGCTCCCCGCCTCGAGAGCTGATCGTCCCGGACTTCGGGCGGGCATTATGCTCACACAATGATTATTATATATGTAGGTTGTGTAGGTAATGTAGGTTATGTAGCTCATGTAGATTATGTAGATTATGTAGATTATGTAGATTATGTAGATTATGTAGATTATGTAGATTATGTAGATTATGTAGATTATGTAGATTATGTAGATTATGTAGGTTATTTAGGTTTGTAGGTTGTGTAGGTAATGTAGGTAGTTTGTAGTCATGATATCTGTAATTCGATTGAAAGCTCAATAAATCCCTAATGGATGAGTCGCAATTTATCGCTCGTTGAAGATCTGAGAGTCACATTCCGTTCTCGTCGTCCGACCCGTGATGGTCGAGGACGAAGGAGGTCCGCAATGTTGACATATAGGTTGATTACGGATCCTGACTCCGTGGAGTCAGCGGATCCACAGGGAGCTGAAGCTTGGCAGTCGTTCGTCCTTCTCGTCCATAATTTCTTGTGGAATACAAGAGCTGAAAACTACGCTCTCCTGGGTTCAGAACGTGCACGGAAGCTTCCAATTATTCGGGTGTCGGATGAGCATCAATCTTCTCTACCTCCATAGCCGTCACGACCACTTCCCTCAGACTCTCGGCGCAAAGAGTGACGAGCATGGAGAAAGGTTCCACCAGGACATAAGCACGATGTAAGAGAGATACCAGGGAAGAGGGAAACCCCTGTGATGGCAGATTCCTGCTAGAACCTTCTGCGGGTAGCCCCTGATCGACCGCAATCGCCCACGTCTTCCTCCGTCGGTTCCGATTCACCGATTTCGAGCGTTGGTAGGCTCGGATGTGTCAGGTGTTCCCAGTGTTTTTTGAGAATTAAAAGTGAATGGATCATCCGATCATGCTCTTTGTCCCAGGATGTTCGTATTCGAGTTTGCTTCGGAAATGTCATGGGCAAACAGGTTCAAAGGGAATATTTTCTGTGTCAACTCTCGGTGAAGAGGCCATCCACGTTTTCAAGCCACTTTTTAAGTTCGATGGACTCCAGTTCACGGACTAGTGCTTCGAATCACACAAAATTTCGCCAGAGATTGACCCACTCTACATGTTCGGTCACATTTTCATGGACCTGGCTCATCGTAGAGCAGGGAAGGGAAATTAAAGGCAAAAATCACGAATGTCCTGGAAATTGAATCTACAGAAAAACAAGACTTGATACGGGAAAAATATTGTCAGATTCGGAATCTACAGCCTCCATTTACCCAAGCCTCGCTATCACCCTCACTCTCGGGCGAAAAAACTCGTTTTTGTCGGACTGTTTAATGAAGTTTTCATGCCTATCCTGTCTCAGCGTGATCGAGCGATAACATGCTGTCCTTGATTCTCTTCCTCATACCTCCCTCCTTCGCCAAGCCGCCTTCAAATGCGGTCTCCGTGGAGCGTGAAAAGTTCAATCGGCGTAACAATACAAGCGGTGAGTCATTGATCGCTCCCGCGACAAACGATTCTCCATGCCATCGATGAGGTCCATACACGACGACATGAATTATTGTGTTTCTTCCAGAATGCATAACGGCAAGGAGAACTGTGCTGGGCGCCTGTCTAAAGGTAGAGCCCTACCTGCAACCATCTTCCGCAACTCCATCGGCGCAGGAGTCCCACTGAGATTCATCGTCCGCTACTTTGAAAATCCCGGGACCGTCGCATGTGCTCTCGCTACAGAGCCTCATTTTCCCCTCGCGGCAAACGCTGTTTCGACACTGAACTTCGAGAAGACAAGCTGATCAGCGACATTGCATCACTGTCGACGAAGCTTTCGTCCACACGCCCCGACTGTTCTCTGGACATCGTCACACTCCCAATGTTCACACGTGAATGCAAAGAAGTGAATGACACCCTGATTTCCAAGAGCGATGAACTGACGTGGTCGACCAGAGCCACGCCAGTCGACAGATGGTACTCAATGGATGCTTCTCTTTCACGAACCCTAGAATCGCGAATGCGTGCGTTAAAATCCATTGCCAGAGGAGAGTGGCAACTTTTTTAGGAACAAAAATGAGCATCCCACGTTCCGGGACCGCCCACGATCCCTCCCTCGGCACACGGAGTGCCCGGCCAGCAACGTCGAGCCTCAAGACACCCGTTCAAAGGACGTGGACGGCGAGAGAGGTCCCTTCTATGCCTTCGAGCCCACCGCCTCTGGGTCGTCGCGGCTCAACACCCCAATTGGTCCGGCCCCCCGCTCAGGCTCTCGGTCAGAATCCCGGCCACTGAGGCTTCAGGCGTCTTCCCCCCGGGCCCCGAGCGCACCGAGAGAACGCTCTCAAGCCTACCTGGCCGACAGGATCGCCGGTGCCATCGAGCAATTCCACAAAGTGAAACAGGCCCGACCGCCCGCGCGGAACAGGAACCGGAGAAACCGAGGGAAACCGATGCCCGTAGAAAATTCACGGAAGAGCTTGGTCTCATCGTAGCATGGCGTGTAGATCAAGCGAGATCCGGATCCGGGAACAGCGATACCTCTAGGTAGTCTGATCCCGAATCATCCCGCAGACTTCTCCCTCAATATTTGGCAACGACCAACGACTAGCAGAAATTCATCATCTACGTTTCGACATTGAGCGGCTCTCACTACATCTGAGTCGATGGTTTGCTCCCACACCGAGTGCGCATCAAGAATTGACCCACAAAGAAGGAGTCATTGAATAACCCTGTCTGCCTATCGGTCCGACGACGGAGAGAGTGCAAGAGGCGCGTATGGGGAAAAAAACCGCCGCTTCCGGTGATCCAGCCCAAGAACAATCTCAAGTATCCTCACGGTCTCCGATCCGCTGTCGGATCCTCTGGTCGCGATACTCCGCACAAGATGTTCAAATCGGCGAAGGCCACCTTGCCTCAACAGAGGCAGCAGCAGAAGGAGCATCTGGGGAACGATCCATATCATGTTAATCGATAATTTGATTTCGCGAACTCTGGGCCGCCGAAGAAATGTTCGTTCGCTCCCCGAAATGTGCGGGCAGAGGAGTAGAAAATTTCGAATTTATTGCCCTTATCGTCAAGGCATCCGAGAAGAGACCAACCCTAGCACAAAATCTAGCAGCACCCCTCGCGAAGATCGGGGTCGGGCACGAGTCTAAGAAGCTCAATCGGAAGGTGTCAAAATGGTTTTACGAGCCGATCGACGAATTCCGGAATCCCACTCGGTGAGTCAGAACCCAAGCACCTCGCGCGATTACCGGAGAGAAGTTTCAGCAGTGAGGTGAGAGCAACTCTTAATTAGTTCTTCGGAATCCGCGCCGGCTGCTCAGTTAGCACTCAGACACTGAGAGAGCTTTTCAAGGCGAGAGTTCACAGTCCGAGTGGCATTCAACTTCGCATATAACCGGAGTAATCACAGACCAAAAACATTCGTGACTGGGAGACTTACGGACATCGTTCGCAGTATCCAATAATTGCAGTATGGACTACGCCACCTCAGATGCCCCAGCCTTTGTCCTCGAGGAGGCTCAAGCCTTCTCTGACGACTTGATAGCCGCCGACCTCTGCCCTTGTCGCCTGGAAGTCTGCTGCCGGACGGCGGAGAAGTCTTTGATGATAGCTTCCCAGCAGCGAAGTGCGTCCCGTTCCCCGCCGAGGACCGCACAGCTCCTCGAATCGATGGATTAGAGCAGCTCGATCATCACGAGCCGCAGGCTGCGCTACGGGACGAGCCCATTTTCCCGGAGGAAGCGCCGGACACGCGAAGATACGCCTGCGTATTGCACGAGAAGTCCAGAGTGCGGGCAAGAAGGCAGCGGAGAACGGAAAAGCTGGAATACGCACGGGCCGAGGCCGTTCGCCTCGATCGGGCGAGGTTGAGGCACTTCCGAAAAACCTTCAAGAAACTCCACGCCCGATACGTCCGCCTGCTCGAGAAATATCCGTCTCTCCGAGAGACCGCGCCCTCGATTTGCAGTTTTTGTGCAATGAAATCAAACTATTAGCTCGCAGGAATTCAGATGTTTAGAATCAGTGAATAAACGATAACCCATATGGAGCACACGCTTGACTATTTTCCTGAATGTGGAGAGGAAATTTCGCTGTGCTCGCGGGAATGTTGGCCCCAGTATAGTCTTAGGTATCACTGAGTGAGCACCCACCAAGGAAATTCAAACAAATGTCAATCAGCGGAGCATGAGGTCGACAATCGCGGTCCACGACGACTCGGCCGCGGGGACAACTCGGCCACTACGACAACTCGGCCACGATGGAGGTTCAGCTGGTTTGGCGTAGACTGGGGGACGAACTTCGAAGGAAGACTCGACTCGATTTGCTTTGAATCAGTGCCTCTCATGACTTCATAAGAAGCTGTCAATTATCTGTTGAAGGTAGAGCGGTCACTTTCACAACGAAGTTCCGAGGATTCATCTCTCAAGGATTCATTTTGTATGTGTGGGTAACGCCTCTCATGGTCTCTGTTAAGGTATTCGTGTCCCTATTTCCGAGGATGCGCAGAATCTTTTGGTCGTTCTCGACGTACTTATTCTTCTTGCCCTCCGAGGTATGCCCAGCTGTGTATCGTTCCAAGTCGGCATCTTTGCTATGCTGTACGCTACGGATCCCGTCGAAGAAGTTCAATATGCCAGGATGTTCGACGCGGAATCGGCGTTGGAGACTTCTATGAGCTGCCTCCGCGTAATTGTTGGTGCGACTGTCCCCTCGCAGTGTGCGCTCAGAAACCGTCCACATAGAGACTCGAAACAAAGGGTCCCGTCGTGCCAGCGAACCGTCGTTGTGAACTCGAAGACGACCAATGTGCGTGTCTTCGAAGTAGTCCAGGACTGGTTGCAACTCATCTGGCAATTCGTTTCGGAGCTCTCTGAGAGCGTCCTCGAGCCTTTCCGGGGGAACGACTGCGAGTGCGGAGATCATTTTGGCCTTCAGTTCGACGTCTGCATTTCGTTCTGCTGTGCTCGAAAGGAACCGAGCCAAGAGCTCATCCCATCACAAATTTTTATCCAATCCATCGCGAACCGATATATCGAAAAGCCACCTTCGTGGCCGAGTTGTCGTAGTCGCCGAGAAGTCGTAGCGGCCGAGTTGTCCCCACGGCCGAGATGTCGCGGTCCGCGACGATCGAGCCTCAGTTATAAACTCGAAACGGCCTATGCGCATCGGGAAGTTTTGAGGGGGCTCTGCCGTGATTTCGATGGCTATTGCGGGAAATATCCCCTCGACATCACGCCCTAGTCGTCTACCGATCATCGCCTATCTATGATGAGTCCCTCAGATCGAGCAATCATCAGGGGAATCATTCAGCTAGGAATAACCTCGCGCTTCGTGAACGAAATCGCACGTATCGTACGGAGTCGACTCAATGTTCCATTAATTCCAGGAAGGGACCGACATCGTTAGCGACAAGCCACAATGAACTCTAAGTTGAGGCCTGGAGGGGGGGAGGAGAGTTCTCGGAGCGCTGACAGAACTCCCGATAGGCAGGGAGGGATCTAGATGAAGCTGCTATTCTTTAGGCGAAACATCAATATGTCCAGCATTAGCGGCCTATAATTTCGTTCTCACCTGAAAGCACGAATGTCTGCATAGTATCCGATGATTGCTGGGGCTGATGGTCGGAGATCAGAGCGAGCTCGTCGGAAAGTCAGACTCCGGTGGCCTCTGTCCGCCGTTGTTTCCGATCCTCAGCAGTGACGGCAAGCTTCGGAGACCTTCTTCACAGGTATCACCTCGACTGCACCATCCTCCTACGCTCCAGGAGAGCCGCCGGCACGATCGGAAGGTTTCAGTAGCTTTCGGGATCAGGATCTATTTCTTGAAGCTTCGTCAGAGCTTGTTCATTCAGGTATTTCTTTGTGCTGAACTCCTCCCCCTCATGTCCTTCTTCCACTGCACTCTCTCCGTGGACATTGTCGACGGGGTCACGACTCATCCATTCGCAAGTTTAAGGCAGCTCCACATCGGACTCGAGTAAATGATCGAAGACTTCCTCATCCAGATCTTTGCTTGCGGTGACCAATGTTTCTCCCAACGGCTTCGGAGACTTTGAAATCCTTCCAGAGATCTCTGATGGATATCCCCGAGATTTTTCGGATGCCCGGGTGCGTTGTCCAGGAGGGGAAGAAGGGAATTGCCCGCCTCGAGCAATGAGTCCTGTTAGCTGGGACGAAGTGTGCACTCTCTCGAACATTGCACCTGCGACCTGAGCTTTTGTGTTTGGAGCCCACACGACCGGAAGGTCCTCTATCGGAATGAACCGAAGTTCTCTCGGGTACTGTGACTTGTAGACCAGTAGGCTCCAGCTCGAAGTCGCCCTGACAATCCACTCCAAAAAACAAGAAAGTCAATCGATCCTTGACGCTCTTGGAGCCAGGCATGAAGGTCTGTTTGGGAAGGAATCCCTCGCTCTCGATGAGTTCCTTCAGGGCCGGTAGCACACTGAGCTGCTCTGCGGTCGGCTGAAGCGATCTCACCTTGAATTCTAAGCCGCGACGGTGTTTGAATCTCATAAACCATCCGTTGCTTGCTTCGAATTAGAAATCGCCTTACTCTTCGTAGTCCTGCTTCAGAACCACGAACAAGCAGCGTGCTTCCGCCTGTATGGGCTCCGTTGTCAACGGGACTCGATTCTCGAAAGCTGTCTTCATTCACACAGCTCTTCCATTTCATCGAACAGGCGGTGACGTTTTTCGCTGATTATGCCTTCATCCACAACGGAGACATCTTCCTTCACGAGCTCCCTTATCCGCTGATGATCTCGGATCATTGAGGAAACCGTGCTACGAGGCATTCTAAGCGACGGAGTGATTGATCGAGCTCTTTCGCCTGCGTAATGACGCCTCACTATGTCTAACTTGATCTCCAGACTGATCGACTGTCTTTTCCGCGTGGAATACCGCGTAGAAAACTTCGTTTCTAAAGAGAGTCCTCTGTTGGCACCGCTCGGCGAGGAACCGTCTCGTCCTACTTCTAGTCGATACGCCCAACTACATCGGAGACCTCAAGCTACAATTCGACCTGCCCGACACCCCAGCATCTCGGGAATACGTCGGCCTCCAGAGAGAAAAGTTGACTCAGATCGACCCCGGCTTCTTCAACCCGCCGGCCATGAAGCCCGTCGGATGGAAAGGGACCAACCACGAGACTCGGCATCGATACACTGCGGCAGCTTTGTGTCACTCAGAATTCGATCGAAACAGCGTTTGCTATATCTATATAGCTCTTGACCCAGAACGACCACGGTATATCCCCGTGGCACGTGCATAAGAGCACAATATGATGAAGTTTATTATGCTCACTGCCCACTCAGTATATCAGACTATGGTCAAACCTCGACTTGACCGTGATTTCCCGATGCCCACTCGTAGGTCTTTGTTGAAGTTCCTCCCATCAACTCGTGCTCGTGCCTATCCACTCGGGGTCTTCATGAGTCGAGATCTGATTGCGATCGATTCCCCTCTCGCCAACCGGCGTACCGTCCCGTTCATATGGGTGTTATTCATTCCTTGGAGGCTCGTCTCATCATTTGGCCGGCGAGGCTGTAGGCGCAAATCAGAAGGTGCACTAAATGTCGAAGTTCAATCATCATCATAGGTCGGTCCCCACTGATTCCAGACTCTAGTCGGGTTCAGTCATTGACCGCAGAGAGCCGTCGACTTTATTAGGCACTAGCGTACTCGGTCGCGCATCGCTGCGAACCGCAAATGTGTTCTCTCGGAACAGGCATGAGGCCATATGGATCAGATAAAAATATTATTCGAATCGATGTTTCTACCGCTTTTCACATCTATCATTCAAAAAGTGACACATAGAATATGAAAAATCTTACGAACCCCCCTGTCTGCGGTGAATTAATTGAAGAGAGAGAGTTCACCTTGGAATATAAGGAATGATGGACGATCATTTCATTCTCAACATTCATTCACTGTGCTTTTCTCCGGGAGCTCTAGTTCTTCGTCCTCATATTGTCCGTCCTTCGATCACCCTTTTTGTAGACGATTCATGTCCTCGACCTGCGACTCTTTGTCGATAATTATTGTACCCTCGGTGGCATTCAGAACCTCTTTTCTCGGAATGTTCCCGGACCGAGGGATTTGTGAAAGACTCATATCATTGAATTTGAACGCGCAGCGATGCTGACATGTCCCATTTTTTCCGCCGATCCTCACTTCGGGATCGAGGCTATCGATCGCAACTTGAGTCGTAATGGAAAGCACTTCATTCCGATTCAAAACATTCAGTTCGTTGACATCGGGAATGGCGTTCTCTATTGCGGGACAATCTCGCATCTCTTTTACCATCGTCCTCGCTGTGCCGAGCGTTTGCGGCAGAAAAACGATCATTTCCCAGCCCCGATTCTCGATGATCATATGATTCATTCGCACGGGCTCGAGCAACCTTACTCTCTTTAGATTCAATTCGCGACACTCTGTGCTCAGTGGTCTCCGGCGCTCACCGTCCTTTTGACCGAAAACCATTTGACCGAATCCGATCGACCGAAACCGATTGACCGAATCCAATTGACCGAATTCGATTGACCGAACCAGGCTCCTCCCTCACCTGAAACAGAGCGCGGAACTGACTCGCTCATATTCCTAGTTTATTCATATAGAACCCAGAGATTATGCCTAGATTCCAGTCGTTCTCGAGGATAGAGGCGAGCTTCTTAAGTTACACCACGATAGAGAGAAGTTGACGGGAACTTGTAAGTATCGGACTTCACACCTATCATTTACGAGCTTCTCACGGCAGCTATACTAACTTTTGAGATTGAAACCAACGTTTTGTACGTATTCGATGAGGGATATCTGGTTCGATTCGGACTGATCTCCCAGATTCATGAACATTTGATTGACACAGACGTGTTTGTTTTCGGCGCCTAAGGCTTCCGACCCGTGCTGAGGAGCAGCGTCTGTGTCTTGAAACTTTTCTCAAGCTTCTGAAGCTGACTGATCATTTCGAAAATGTTCACGTGCGAACGACCGAGGCCTCGATTTAGAGCGTGGTGCCATCCCCCGAGGTGGTTTGTCGTGCGGGCTCCGAAATCGCGGCAATGGTTCCAAAGTCTACGCGGAAATACTGCTCCGTTCTCGAGCCAAGTGCTGATGAAGTAGGTTTCGAACCTCTAATAGCCGAGTGAGCTGGATGGTCCGTGGAGGGCGACACTGCCTCAATTTCCAGCCATGCATTGTCGATCTGCGACAGAGGAACCTGAGCGAGGGCACCGACGCATCTGAAGAACTTTTTCACAATGGGTTCAGCGTAATACTGTCGAATTCCCAAGTCTTGCACTTTGCGCCATAGGCATTGAGCGGAGTAAAATGCGCAACCTTTAACTTCTGCCATGGGGAAGGTCTCTCCGATCGATTTCAGCATGGACACTTCGAAGTCCAGTTGGAAGCGCTGCGGATCGAAAGTCACGCCGATTGATTGAGAGTAGCCCACGAGCAAGGCGAACATTCGGTTATATGTTTCCCGTCGTTTGTCGGGTAAGAGAAAATAAGCCATGGGGATCGTTTCTCCGCAGCATATAGAGCGGGAGAAATAGCTTGGGAACGACACGGGAGGTGCCGTCCATGAAAACTGTCGGCGCCGAACAGAGCTCGATCACGAGCTAGACCGTAGTGGAGCCGAGAATTCGATTTTCCCCCCATCATTGATGACGAGAAAATCTTGTCCGTCGACCGTTTTTGTCCACGATTCTCTTAGAGTTATTTCTACTTCAGACGCTGGCAGCGGCGGACGCACGCTCTTCCTCCCGTGCACGGTAAAGCGAGGTCGACACGCTCGAGAATGAAGGCAACGAGGCACCGACCTCCTCTTCAGGGTGGGATTCCGTCAGAATAGATGCCGCAGAAGTCGTCCCCTCCATCTACACCTGCTTTCCGCTTTTCAGCGCTTCAGCGATCACGCGCTGC